CTTCTTCTTCTTCTTCTTCTTCATCGTCGTCGTCGTCGTCGTCGTCGTCGTCACCGACGTTCTACTTTTTTAATCCACCACCTTCCAAGGTGAACTAGAGAGACAAAAACGATATCCATTGGCGCGAATGAATTAAGTTACTCCCCAGTTGAAGAACAAGAAAGCGACTGGTGAAGAACCAATCTGGTAGACGTCAGTATTATTGACGACAGAGAGGAGGTGTGGAAGTGACCCGATTGATGCATAAACTCTTAAAGTTCAGTTGTTAGTAGCGACAGTGAGATTGCACGTGCATTGTAGTGGTGACAAGACAAACACATGAATGCATGGACAAATAAAATAGTAATGAAGACGAGGTGGACTTTTGCACAACAAAAGTGCAAGGATGATGGCGAAATATGGCCAAAATTGAGGTGACGCTACGAGGGTGGGGCACTAAGTGCGAAATCGGTCATGTGCAGGCCTTTCAAAGGCAGTTTGTTGGTGTGCCTACGGCAATATTAATAATAACGTCGCGGAAACTAAAAGGGGAAGAATTGAGGAACGAAGGCGAGAAAAGCAAAGCGAAACGAAGGAGCAATGCCAAACGCTAAGGAAGATGTAAGGGGAAGGAGGCGAACTTACTTCAACAAAAGGGCTAGCAGTGCCAACAGAAGTGGTCCTAATGTCTCCGTTCTAGACAAGTTTCTGTGCAACAAAGCATTTTATAGCGTGGAAGGGTGCGTAGTAGGACCCACACACAGGTCCCACCTCATGATGATCCAAAAGCCATCAATGACTCACGCACAGCTACTCCCATTGTGTGTTACAGAACGTACACTTTGACCACTTTGCCTCATGGATCATTCTTTTGCCTTCATCGCCCCGCCTCTGCCTGGACTCACTAATGGCTTCACCAATTCTCCTCACGACCCTTCCATCTTCTCCGCTCGCGCTACCATAACGGACTCGAGAACACCACGTTTTGCACTGATTTCCACTTCACTCTATCCTTCCAATCGCACCTCCCTTCATGCAATCGAGAGCGCACTTGCCGCAATAAATATCCCAAAGTTAAACCCCCATTGGATAGACGTCTAGGTATCTGCTCTCATTCAGAGTGAGTGCTTCGCACCCCAACTTCCGTCTCACATTACTGCCAAAGTGACGTCTTCTGATATTAGGGAGAGATGTGCTAAGCGTTAGTCCACCACCTCCGCTGGTAGTGGTGGTCGTGCAAAATCGAGACGAGTGCCTAAGACATGTCCGAGGGCGACAGCATTCTGTCGTCAACTCTGCATGGCTCTTCCACTTCTTGCTCCCTCCTCCAACTGACAATAGATTTTGCGGTTGTCAATGTTTACCCCGGTGGACTGGAACATACGGAGATGGGAATCGTATGTCCATGCACTACACAACTGTTGAATGATGGCCGTGAAGCTTGAGCCACAGACTTGGTGAATCCGTCAAAGCGTAGACTTCCGATACCCTCCCGCCACTCCGCGAATGTTGTCAATTGTGATCAATGAGGCGCCCTTGAATCCGGTATTGTTTACTACTCAAATTTGCTAACACCCTGACAAGTTGTCCCTTTAACCGCCGTTCCGATGACCACCTCCGACTCCCTGAGGTGTGACACCCTGAACAATGATAGTGCAGCCAAGTCATTCCATGAGGAGTTAATGGCCTCAGTTATCAATGCAGCAGGTGCACTCATAAATACGATCCATTGTGCATGATCCTCTACCATTGGATCATGCTGACTTGCCACAAATCACCCCTCAATGCACACATCCTCACCGATCAGACTCGCAAAGCAAAGTCTTTACTTCTTCCCATTTTAATCGCATTCTCCTCCCACTACTCCACTTTACTTGCATTGTCTTTCGTTCCTCACTCCCTCCGCAGACAACGGCATGCAAGCTGCGCTTTATTTGAACGCCCTTCCAACACAAACATAACCACTCCACTCCTCACTCTTCCCTACTCGATACAAGAGTGCTTTGCACCTCCTCAACGGAACGACATATTCGCCTACTAGTCTATTTAAATGCCCACATCCATCGACTTCCTCGACGTTGCGTCGCATTCACCAGCTGCTTCAACCAACTTCATTGCCAATTGCTGCATACGCCTTGCACTTTCAAAGCAGTCACATTGCTGCGATGCTACTACACTGCATGTTAATTGCTCACTTCTTCACAGCCTTCCACTTGCGGTCACCTTCGAGCGACTGTGCTATCACTAGTGCCAACGTGTTTAGACAAAGGCGTTGTCAACCCAATTTGCAATCAAGCACCAACCCACTCCACGCACCAAATCCTATCAGGCAATGTGTAAAGTGGATGCATATCCATTCTCCTCACGTTATGCGATTCGGTGTAGCGCATCAACCGCCTTCCTCTTCACCTCTCGAGTCGTATCTGAGTGGGAGAATTGCGACCATACCAACTGCTCACTTCCAGCGAATCTCCTTCATCCGTTGGATGGCAACAATGCCATGACACCACTAAGTGTCCTTTAACGACATCGAAACCGAATACAATTACCACCCGCGATTACGGCCATTACCTTCTAACTGAATGCATATTCGCAAGTACATCTGCACCCTCTTGTTGGTTTGTTGTAAGCCCTTCCACCTTGCGTATTGATGAGGAAGTGAATATGGAGGGAGTACCCACCTGCCTATCCTCCATTCAAAGTTGGATCGTGTGATTAAGTGGTGAGGATTAGAAAGGAATGGGAAGGAGTAGACGATGCAAGGAAGGAGTGAAACGAACTCACACGAGGTTTGAGGTCGGACAGTCAAGAGGCAAGAGCGAAGACTGGTAGAAATGGGAGTGGATCGGATGAAGAGCAGTTCAACGTGAGGCTGCAATCCCTCGTGATGAGTGTGCACACGAAACAGGTGGCACCAGTCAAAGCACGCCGAACAAGAGTAGCAGGGAGTTGACAAGCACAGAGAATGAGGCCTTTGGTACTAGAACAACTTTCATCCATGCCGTGCAGAGGTGGTATCGGGGCCACAACTGATGCACACAAGTACAGACTATGACAATTCATGCACCTTCCAAACTGAACTTAGAGCTAAGCAAATCGTCGACAGCAGCACTCCCACCTTGCACCTAATTTACCAAAATCCAAACCAACTTCTGGCCATGTTCGCTGAACTAAACGCACAGCTGCAAACTTGATAGCAGCAACGACTACAACAAATACAACGAATTGAAACAACGCAAAGGTGTAGAAAACCGGTGCCATCATCAACATCAACAACAAGAACAATGGTCCCTTGAAATCATGCAACATCTTCACAATTCCACCTAAAATTAATCATTACTGCGTGTCTTGATGCATTGCCGGTGTGTCTCCAACTCTATCTACTTTCAGCGTCCTCACACCACTCTTTTGTCCATTGAGAGCAGAGGTCTACGTTGAATGCTTCCATCCAGACAGGAAGTGTGGGAGCAGAACTTTGCCGTGACCAAAAGACAACCACTAGAGCTATCGCCACTCATGCAGGAGACCGCACAAACAAAGCACACTACCTACTGAGCCTTCGCATCCTCACCTCCTCCATTGCCCACCATGACTGCAATCTCAATCAAAATCTGTGTTTATTTCACTGACAATGCGAATTAACTCAGTGACGACGTCCTCGCAGTATATTCAACTGCACGACCAATGGTCGATCACTTCCCCACTCTTGTCTTACATCATGATTTACCAAGCTTTCCAATTACTCAAACATCCCATCCCAAGTAACCGAGAAGTGCAGCATCCCTGTCGACAAAATAACAACCAATCCACGGCCTACCTGTTCACAAAATTGTTCGAGCGTGTAGTTTACTCAGCACCACTGTAACGCCCCAAGATTCCTCATTGGACAGAGAACAGTGGGTGGAGTTGAATACCCGTATTCGGGTGGACGGGGAGGAGACTGGACTTGGCTTGGTCTAGCCCAAAGCCCAGCACATGCTGTCTAGCGCAAGACCAACACCAAAGTCACCACCACTCATGCAAGTAGTCGAATAAACAAAGTGATACAACCATATCCCTCAACCGGGAAATCGAACAGTTCCGTCAACCACTCATAGCCAAATTGCCCAACCAATGGGTTCAATCATAACAACATACATTTGCACCACTACTGTCATCTACAGACATAGTACATAACTATTTCCTCCATCTTTTTCGCCACAGAGTCACCCTCGATCCCCTTGTCGATCAATTGGTAACGGGTCCATCTCATCATCTTATACCAATTAATAAACTTTCTTTCACGGAACGTGATGCACCACAATCGCCAATTCACCGACGCATCAGCCAGTACAGATCTGTTGAATCCACCAAGCAGCCGAAGGAACGGCAGGAGATTTTTCACCGCACTTGATTTATGCTGTCCAGCCAGCCCTATCACTGCGACATTCAATATCTGATGCGGTGCCAATGCTCTCACGGTGGCCTCAAAATCATCTCTGACAAACACAGGCGGCCACACCAAGTAGATTATGCACCTGTAGCGATCAAGTCCATTTACCTGACCTAAGAATGTCACCATCCAAACAACTTAACGCAAACCTTGTTCGAGTGTAGAGTTACGCAGCAAATGCGGATTCGCCACACAATTACGTATTCCCAAATTGTATTTTATCCATCCAACAAAATGTCCTTGCCCCCGCAGCTCATCTCCTCCATCCGACTCCTTGCACACATTTTTGTCTGGCAAAATACGAATATACTCCAGTCTCTCAATTACACGATAATTCCACGTGAACAAAGACGGCGGGGGAGGAACCACTTCCTGCTTCTCATATTGAATCGCCTCAAAAACAGCCTGAAAAGAACGGCGTGAGGATTTCGAGAAGAGCAGCTGACAGATACGCTTGTCCAACCACGTCCACCCTTCCAGGCACTGACGTATGCGAGCGGAGAATGGACGCTGAGCAAGAACCCACCTCCAACTTGGGATAGCCATACAGACACGCAGCAAATCCTCACCCTCAAGAAATGCGCCTATCTTCAACTTCACCTCAAGTGGAAGACCAGCTATCCCACAAACTGTTCTATCTCCTTCCTAAATTTAAAAATAAAATTGTGTGATCCCCTGTGACATCGGGACTGGGAACAGGAAGGCTAGTAAAAGACAACTAGTAAAACAGATCAGTAGAAAAAAAAAACAGATAACAAATGCACGCAGGAATGCGTATGGACTACCACAATCTACCATCTCTCAGAAACACTACAGCAGCGTTGTGTGGTAGCAGTGTCGACAGTTGAATACTTCTCAGTTCCCTGATCACGCCTCGTTTCTTTCTGTGCCGTCCACTTCCACCCACGTAATCACAGTACCGACTTCCTTCTCCTTTCCACCTCTACAAGGCATACATTACTCTGAAACTCAAAATCAATGACCCCTTTACGCAGTACATATCTTACGCAGCAGCAACTTCAATGGCATCACCAACTCCACTGCCTATGTATGCGCATCTACTTGGTTGGACAACGGACCACTTCTCAACTGGTCGCTGCCCGACAAATTCCTCAATTCTCTGCAATCCTACAGTCCCTGTTCACTATCCAAACAATCTCAATTTGACTGCTTCTCTGCTCATGCCACAACGTTTCCAGACCTTTGCAAAGCCAACACTACTGGTGTAGCTCCAAGCAACCACATACGCCACAACTACATCCAAAACTTGATTTCGATAGTCGTAAGCACTCGTAGAGCAATCGACACACGCCCCTGTGTGCACTTAGCAACAAGGACCGCAAATCGTTGCCTCTGCACTCTTCCACAGAACCATCCCTTGCGCAAACCAGGACCTCCTCAAAATGAAACGCTCAGAGCAAGTCGTTATCACATAATGCAGGTCAGAGCGGTGACCAAACACACGCCACACAGCCTACCACTAAAGCCCGTATCTCGCACTAATGCAACTAACCACCACACACGCCTACAATGCACATCAATGATGGCTAACGCCTCAAATTTCATCATCACCAAAACAAACGCGTTACCACTAAATACAACCCACGGTAGCTCCCGTGGCAAATGTAGAAGGCAATGAACTAGGCTACAGACGGATATCACAACAACAGACTACTACACACACGTACATACGCACACACCCACTTACACTTTCTTCTATTCCACACACAACAATGAAACACGCTCCTACATGTATGGCCTTGAGACCTGATTGAAACCTACCAATGCCCTGCAAGTAGCTGCATTAATTTGAACCTCTCTTGACTACAATGGCATTGTTGAGCAATGGGTGCCATACTATTGCGATATTTGCCTCATCATAGTTCGTCATCATTGTCGCTATCGTCACCGTCTTGACTATTTTTCGAACTTTCAGACTGCGATCACGTAATAGCTGTAGTTACTGCCTGTCTACCCTGTGGTCCCTGGTTCTCAGACTTTAAGAGGAAGTTGGTTGTGGACGATTTATTAGGCATCTCTG